AAGCAGGAGCCCCACAAGTCCCACCGGCTCATCCCATACGGGAGGCACGCTGGCACGGGGTATAGGGTCCGGGCTGCAGGCGATGCCCGCAGTGGTACCCGCCGGTGCCCAGCATGACCCTCACCTGTACTCCTGAGCCTCCAGCTTCTCGAGCTGGTGCACCATGACCTTGTTGCTCTCCTGCAGGGTCTGATACTCCTCCAGCAGGTCCTGGTACTGCCCCCGCAGCGCCTGCAGCTCCTCTGTGGGCACACGGGCCTGGGCTCAGCTGGTGCCGGCTCTGCCGCGCGGGACCCCCTTCCCAGGTGCCAGCACCCAGGGCACGAGCCCAGTGCATCCTCGGACTCTGGTCCTTTGCACCCCACAACCGCCCCGTGGCACCGTACCTGTACTGGACCCCCGCCCTCCCCGGGCCGCGGTACCTTGGAGCGCAGCCACCTCCCGGGGGGCCACGGCGTCGGCGCGGGGCCCTCCCTTCATGCGGATCTCGGCCCGCAGGCTGGCCAGCTCCAGCTCGTAGTCGTCGCGCAGCACGTGGGCGCGGTGCAGCTCGGCTCGCAGGCGGCACAGCTGCTCCTGCAGCGTGGCCACCTCGTTGGCGTGCAGGGCGCCTGCCGCAGCCCCCGCAGCTCCTCCTGCGCCTCCTGCAGCTCCTGCTCCACCTCCTCCAGCTCCGAGGCCTTGGTCTCCTGCAGGGAGCTGAACTCGTCCTGCACCATGTGCATCTGGGCTGGGGGGCGGGAGAGAGGGTCAGACCCCCCCATGCCGCCCCGTTGCTCCCAGCTCTGAAATGCAGCTGCTTCTGGGGAGGGCGGTTTGGGATGGGAAGCGAACCAGAAGCTGGCGGCCGAGGGGATTTAGGAACCATCAAGGGTGGGGGCTCACAGGGGGGCACCCACAAAGCAGCCGGTTCCCCCCCAAAACCAACCCCTTCCCCTGAGAACTGCCCAGGCCCAGGTTGGGGGGTCCCAGCAGTGGGTGGGGGGGGCACAGGAGGGGGGTCCAGCACTGAGGAGTCTCCCCGGGGCCACGGGGTGGGGGAAGCCACGCCGAGGGTCTCCTAACACCCGAAATGGAGCCCGATCCCGGGTGCAGTGGAGCAGAGAAGACCCTTGAAGCCAAGGGGAGGGGGTGCAAGGGGGTCCCCAGACCCCCATGTGATGGGGGGCCATGGGGGCAGCAAAAGGGGGGTCAGGACATGGCGGGGTCACAGGAGCAGGGGTCCCCAGGAGCATTGGGGAGTCCAGGGACCGGCAGTGGGGGGAGCTGTGGGGTGTCAGCAGGGCCGGGGCACCCCAAGGGATGCCCTGGGATTTCGGGGGGCTGCTGGCAGTCGGGGCCCAGGCCCCGTGGGCAGCAGTCGAGGCCCTGCTGTCGGGGTGCCCGGGGCGGGCGGGCAGGCGTCGGGGTGCAGGGGTGCCGCTGCGGCAGTTGGGCCCAGCCGGGGGGGCCAGTCCGGCAGGGTCAACATGGCGGGCGGCAGTTGGGGCCCGGCCGTGGGTGCCCCGGGCTGGGGGGTGAGGGGCCGTGGCCTCGGACACTCACTGCCCACGGACGGGGAGGGCGTGAGCTCCATGGCGGCGTCCGCTCGGCCCCGCAGCCGCCCGGGGTCCCGCTTAAAGCCGCGGCGCTCGGAACCCGGCCCCGCGGCCCGGGGGCAGGCGGGCTTGGCCGGCAAGGGTCAGGGCACCAGGCCCCGGACCCCAGGGCTCGGCAGGTCCCAGGAGACGTGCTCTGATGTGTATGGACTCGTACGCATGGCGTGTACGGGCACGCGCACATACAAGCAGGCACACATGCGCATGCACTCACACACAGTCATATATGCAGAGACCTGCCCATCCACACATGAGTGCACACATACAACCAGGCATGCATATGCACGAACACAGGCAAGCGCGCGTGTGTGTGTGTGTATACACACACATCCACACACAGACATATGCACACAAAACACACAAAGGCAAGTGTACACACACCTCCACAAGCAAGCAGGCACATGAACACACATGCATACACAGGCACACATCGCCACGCAGGCACAAAGGCATGTGTGCACACACACAGGCGGGCACACATACAGACAGACAACACACAGACACCCCTGCACACACAGAGGTGGGCACATGCAGACAGAGCGACTTGGACAAGGGAGTGAAGTGTACTCTGTCCAAGTTTGCAGATGACACAAAGCTGTGGGGAGAAGTGGACACGCCGGAGGGCAGGGAACAGCTGCAAGCAGACCTGGACAGGTTGGACAAGGGGGCAGAAAACAAGAGAATGCAGTTCAACAAGGAGAAATGCAAAGTGCTGCACCTAGGGAGGAAAAATGTCCAGCACACCTACTGCCTAGGGAATGACCTGCTGGGTGGCACGGAAGTGGAAAGGGATCTGGGAGTCCTAGCGGACTCCAAGATGAACATGAGTCGGCAGTGTGACAAAGCCATCAGAAAAGCCAATGGCACTTTATCGTGCATCAGCAGATGCATGACGAATAGGTCCAAGGAGGTGATACTTCCCCTCTATCGGGCGCTGCTCAGACCGCAGTTGGAGTACTGCGTGCAATTTTGGGCGCCACA